GACCGAGAGGAAGGGGCACAGGCCGCGGGCCTCCCCGCAGCTCTCGCTCAGTGGGCCGGGCAGGCGGCACCCCCTCCTGTGACAGGACAACAACAACGCCACTGCCCTTCCGATTGGCTGTTTGTGAGACGCCGTCTGATTGGCTGCTCACGCGGCCATCCCGACTTATTCTCTGGACGGTGTCTCCAGGACCTAAATGTAAAACTCCTTCTGATTGGTGGATACATCCAGGATTGAAGTTGGGAAGAGACACTCACTCTGGTGGGAGCTATTTTGTTCCGTATCTTCCCCTCTGCTTATTTCCGTTTGGTTTATTCCATAAGAACAGCCGGGGCCAGCGGCTGTCACTCAACACAGTTCACTGCTGTTCTCAGCCAGTTCCACCTTGCCTGCCCCCAGCTACCGCTGCCCTTCCTCACCCCCCCAACCATCATCATCATCACCTCCCAATCAAAGCCACCTCCCATTGCTTCTCACACGATCCACTTCTTATTACTTGTCTGCCTGGCTCCCGGCCTGCATTTTTCCCACTACACACCCCTTGCCCTTCTTGCCCCCTTAAGGCTGCCCCCTATCCCTGCCACTGCCCCCCATGGTTTTCATAGCCACTGAAACTACCCCTCACTGCAGAACTGTAATCCAGAATCTGTATAATTGTTTTAAAATTAAATAATGTATGTTTCTGGCCCTTTCGGGTTGCAGATAACCACGAGAATGGACACAAGTGCAAGAACATTCTGCAAAACAGTTCTTAAAACATGTGACTTGCCCCATCCATCTCATTCAGGCCCCTTTGGATTTTTCAATACTGTGGTTTGTGAAATACACACATTTTCAAAGATGTTGTAGAGCTTAGCATTTTCCTCATGGCCAGTCATTTTGTCTTCATCTACCTTGCCTGCCTACCAGGCTGTATTGCCTCTCAGATATCTTTTTGTTGTACTATTTTATTTCTGAAAAATTGCATCAACAAAAAATGTAACACACATAATTGTATGATATGCCAACTGATTGTTCATACATGTTCTTGAAGTAATACAAACTTAATTAATTAAAAAAGCAGTCTGCACCCATCACTGGCAACTAAGGACTACACAAGTCTGGGCAAAGGATTAGGTCTAAAGCAGGGACTGTCCCTGTCCTTCATAGACAGTCTTTTTGCCAGTGTAGACCCAGTCAAGCTCACACACATACCTATTAGCAGAGAAAGAAGAAAGTCCTCCTTTCCATGCTTATATAGAGCAGGAAAACAGTGGATTTTCTGCTAAACAGCCTTTACTCTATAAATGCCTTTTGATGTCATGTCATATATAAGAGATATGGAGGGACTTTGCCTTTCCTCCAGCCGTTCAACTGATCAAAATTATTCTCTCAAACTTTCTCCTCTTTAGTTTTCTGTTATGATTTATACCTGGTTTTCTGGGTTTTTTTGTTTAAGCCACCAGAGAGCACCATAGTATTACTTTTGCTATACCCAAGCTTACCAAAAACAAGTAGTCCTGTGGCACCTTAGAGACTAACTAGTATCCACATCTTCAGATGAGATGATCTTGTGTATCATGTCCAGGATGGTCCCCTGAGAACGATATGCAGCAACCTGCATGGAACTTGGAAGGAAGACCACAAGTGGTAGGAAGGAAGAATTTGGAGGAGGCACCAGGAAGTCAGTTTGTGAAAGTGTGGTTTGAATGCTAGCTTCAATGCAGCATCTGTGTAAATACAGGTTGGATCTCTCTAGTTTGGCATCTTTGGGACCTGACCTGTCCCAAACAAGGGGATTTGCTGGACAAGAGGAGGTCCCTTGCTACCGACTCCCCATATCACCTTTTCTCCCCACTGCCAGCCCCACCCGCTCCCTTGTTGGGCTACTGTACTGCTGCAGCCTCAGCAGCCCGAACTGCCCCGGCCCCAACTCCGCTATCGGGACGGCTGCATCTCCAGCCCCGGCCCTGCTATCAGGGCTGCTACGGCTGCTGCATCTCTGGCCCTGGCCCTGACCCCACTACCACGGCTGTACACAGCAGGGAGACAGGAGCAAAGCCGCAGAGGCGGGGGGGCGCCCCCGCAGTGGGGGCT